AAACGCATCATATTGATCATAATTAATGAGGGAATTAATAAAATTTAAATTGAAGAGGAGTTACTAACACAGTCTATGTCATTTAGATCTCTAATAAGAATGATGTATAATTCATTTTTGATAGCATTGTCTAGTAATCATTTTAGGTAAATGACAGATTGTTTTGTAATATCTGTTGGGGGATTGGCAGGTGAGATATAACCATTAATTTTTATTTATTCATAAATTGAAGTTTTGTATAGATAATTCTGTTTAATTGAGAGTTATAAGCAAAAACGTGTTTAGTGATATGGGGCTAAAAGAGAGGCTGATACCAGTTCCAATCAAACGGGAGTTTTGGTTATTGCTAAAAAAAGTGGTATAATCAGGAAAATCACAGTTGAAAATAGATGTAATTCTTTTAAAATTAGTTTTTTATAAACCTATTATGTCAAATTGATTAACTGAATATAGGAAAAAAGGTAATTTTGTTTTGCAAGGTTATTGAAAGAACGAACATTGTGTATTGCGATTTTAAGATTTGAAAGTGAAGGAGTGTTAGAACTAGGGATATTTGAATTATTAGACAGTAATCATAATAATAATAAAATAATTGTTGGAGGCTGCCGATGCAGCGTTCTATTACTTTATCAAAGTTATTTGTTAAAAGTTCAAAAATTTATGTGTCATGTTTGTTGAGAATATTTTTATTAAGGAGAGTAGTTTGAAAGTCATGACAGGACTTAAGTAGTTTATTAAGTATGAAAGTAAACTCTGATATACGTTGTTATTATTTTTGACAGATAAGAACTAGCTGTTCGTTTGTTTGATTTTGCAAATAGGCGATGCAAAGATCGGTATTAATAAATGAGAATTTATGGTTTATTTCAGTGGCAGATTCTGGTAAGTTATTATTAAAATCTTTTGCTTCTACAGGGATGACAACTTTGATATTAAGGGCTTTTTTCACAATAGCTAGACGTTATTCTAAAAACTTAAATTTGATATAAAGTTCAGTGAGTATGTTTGAGATTGAGGTAAGTTGGGATGTAACAAATTGTTTGAAATTAGGTCATAAATTGAGTCACCTTATGCGGTCCTATTTTTCAATTTTGGAGTGGAAAGGACTTATGTTTCCATGAAATCATCAATAGGTTCATCTGCCTAGTGTAATTTATTTTTCATATGAGGAGGAATTGGATTTGACTTGTTAGCGTTAGACTTAGGTGGTAGGGTGGAGGAGGTCTTCTTTTTGGGGATTCTTGAGAATTATTATTATGTGGAGTCTTGGTCACATGAGCAAAGGTAATATTGTCACTAATTGCGCCTCTAATGGGACTTCATTTAGGTGCAGTATAATTGTTGAATTGGGCAGGTTAAAATCTTTGATATAGATTTTGCATATTATGTTCCTTAGGAGATTATTAGCGTCTGGGACAAGAAGAAGCATTGTGGTGAGCTGATGAACAAATTGCACAAAGTTTGACTTTTGGGTTAGTCCATTCCAGTTTTTTTGTTGTTCAGGGTTATGTTCTTTATATTCATAGCATCCTAAGTGTTTTCTTTGTTAAGAAAATAAAAAAAAGCATGTTGTAAGTAGTTATAATTAGAGTGAACTCTAGGGATAATCTATGTAGTAGCGGAGACCATGTTTCTGATATCTTAGAGGTCATGTGATGTAATATTACGAGGCAGATTAGTAAGTTTGGCTAAAAAAGCAGAATGGGCTTGAATTTCAGGTTTTGAAAGGCTACATGAGTAGTATCAGATCATATCGTTTAATAGGTAAATGCTATCTCCTTTTTTTAATTCTTTGAAATTTACCTTTTCATCGAAGGTAATTGTAGCTCTTTACCAAAGGTTTTAGTTTTCATAGTAAAGCGGACGATAGTATCAAATTTGGAAAATAATTTGTGTAATCTCATTTCAGTAGGATCTAGAGGGATTTCTGTGACTGTGATCGATTGATCAGATACATAAGAGGCAATTCTTTTTATATCCAATAGTTGAAACATGATATCTTCTATATCAGGAAATTTATAATTGCAAAAGTCATCACGTTCTGATTTATCAATAAAGGCAACTCTAATTATAGCTTGATCATGATTGACAGAGTGTTTCCCTTTTGTGGCAATGATGAATGAGTTGTACTTATCATAACACAAATCAGTGATCTTTGAGACCTTCATTTGGAGGTTCAGACCACAGAATTTATCTATTAGAATGTACGCAAAAAATTTGATGACTTGTGTTGAAGGAGCTTCAAAGCTAATGGTTGAAATGTTTAAAATATTTTCTGACATATCAAAAGACTCGTCAACACTCTCAATTGGTTTAGGTACAGTTGTTTCAGAGGTTGAAGTAATAACTTTAGGACTTTTTTCTTTGTTAAGGCTGTTGGTTGAACTTTTTATGACTGGGTCGACTTCCATATTATTGGTATCTTTTGGGAAGTATGTTTCAATAGAAGCAGTTTGATGAACTTCAGTATTATCAGCATTGTTGTCTGGAGTTTGGGTAGTATTTTACTTTTTAGTTAGTTGTTTATCAGTAACTGGCGATGCTGAGCGACTGCGGTTAGTATTCTTTCATTCTGGTTTTCTAGGCATTTTGGTAATTTTGGAAAGAGAGAAAGAGTTTTTTTTTCAAATAGCTAACAATTAACAAAATAATGAAAGTTATTAATGTACCAATTACTATCTATAGCTGGAAAATTAAATTGGGCAAAGGTGTTGTTGATGGTGCTCATAACAGATCAAAATATAGGAGGTTTTCTATTAAAATCAGTTTACGAACATAGTAAATCATAATTTTCAATTACTTTTACTCTATGATAATGACGAGATCTTGGAATTATTCGGACCTCTCCATTCTATATTTGATATATATAGTGAATCTTCATAAGTAAAATTATTTACAATTCATTTCTCCTCAAAATATTATTACCTGCTGGCCATCTAATTATATTATAAAAAAAGTTATTCAAACTTTTAACCAGAAACTCATTCTTTGCTTGTGTACTTACCAAGACTATTAGACCTGAAGTTTTCTTTAAATAAATATTAATGGGTTATTAAATTCAAATACAATAAAAAGTTTAGTTGACTCACATTACTATACCAATGTTCATTAATGGTGGTGTCATATAAGCAGACCTATTAGAAGTAATCAATCAATTATTTATTTTAAAATAAAAAGAATTTAGTAATTTACCTCATTTAATGGCAAGCTAAGAAATAAATAAATAGTTAGTAAAAAACCAAATAAAAATAAAAAAAATCTAATAAATTTGTTACCTAATAAACTGATTAGTAAAGGGACTCCTATAACGAGCTCTTTTATTAGGAGAATTTATTGAACTTCCTTCCTTAAATATCAAAAATAAGCGTATCTCTCAAATACTTTTGATCAAGAATTCCTCCAAATATGTACATTTTCGTTATTATTGGTTAATGCTGTTAAGCTATCCTTACGGAAAAGAATTTCTTAAAATTATTTTGCGTATCAACATATAAACCTCTTCCTGGGTCTCTTAAAAGCTTTTGAAGAGGAACGGGTTTTAGAAGGTTAAAATTTACAACATTTTTAATTAAATAAAGTTTGATTTTACTAGTTATTTCACCCCGATAAAGTATAATATGAAGTAAAGCTTACTGAATTAAAATTAAATAATTTTAAAATTAAAAAAAAAAATTGTAAATATTTACCTTGCCAAACAAGGAAAAAATTATTTTTGCTTCATAACAAATTATTTTGATTTCAACAATAGGATTCAACAATCGGATTGGTTGAAAATTACACCAACATTATAGGGTGAGAAAAATTTCAATGATTGTTAAATTATCCGATCAACCTAGGTTATTTATGGAAAAATTACTGTTGGAAAAAATTTAAACCGAGGGCTGAGTAAAAGTGAGTTTTCTATTGGTAAATTTCTATGCAAGAAAAAAAAAGAAAATAAAAACCTCACCCGAAACAAAAAAAAAAAAAAAAAAAAAAATGGTTTTAAAGAACAATTTAGAAAAGTCTTTAAAAGACTTGGAAATGAGATTTAAGGAATTAGAGCAAAGTAACGAAGGGTTACGTTCAGAAGTCAAATATTTAAAAGAAAAGATACGAGAACGAGAAGAATTGTCCAAAGAAAAGCAAGGAATTATTAACGAATTAGAAAAGAGAACCAGAAATCTTGAATCAATTTTATATTATGATACTATTGTTAGTTTAACTATTACAGATACTAATAAGGATGACATATTGAACAACTTTGGCGGTTTGCGAAGATATCGAAAATTGACAAAACTCCGTTGCTATAGAACTCAAATAACTAGATTACAAACATTACCAAATTCCTTAACGGATCTCCGTTTCTCTAAAACTCCAATAACATGCTTACCATCTTTACCTAATTTCTTAACTAAACTGTATTGCTATGAAATTCAAATAACAAATTTACCAACATTACCAAACTCCTTAAAGGAACTCCGTTGTTATAGAACTCCAATAACAAACTTACCAAAATTACCTGACTCCTTAACAATACTCTGGTGTTTTGAAACTCAAATAACAAGCTTACCAACATTACCTGACACCTTAACGAAACTCCGTTGCTATAGAACTCAAATAACCATCTTACCAACATTACCAAACTCCTTAAAGGAACTCCGTTGCTATAGAACTCAAATAACAATCTTACCAACATTACCTAACTCCTTAACAGAACTCTATTGTTCTGAAACTCAAATTACTAGTTTACCAACGTTACCTAACTCCTTAACAGAACTCTATTGCTCTGAAACTCAAATTACTAGTTTACCAAAATTACCAAACTCCTTAACGATACTCGATTGCTCTGCTACTCAAATAACAAGCTTACCATTATTACCAAACTCCTTAACATTACTCTGGTGTTCAAACACTCAAATAACAAGCTTACCAGCATTACCTAACTCCTTAACGTACCTCCATTGCTTTAATACTCAAATAATGAGCTTACCAGATTTACCCAATTCCTTAACGCGAATCTACCCTTCATACCTTATATATTTTATTCTAAAGTACATGCCGGGTAATTGGGTCGAAGATTCGAAAAATGGCGGGTGATTTGGTCGCTGGATATTAGGGGAATTAAGATCGGAGAAATCAAGTAATAATTTTGCCTCAATCTTGTATAGAAGTTTAAATAAAACCATACTATACATACCGAAAGGATATGACCGAAAGGAAATTTGATAGTCGGCTAGATGGTTAACCAGGTTACTTGAGTAGTCGGGATATTGGAAAAAAACAAATATTTATTTATAAGTGTATATATAAATATGTTAAAAATAATTTTTTGATACCGGTTCGATATTTTGTCAATTGAAAATTTAAATTTATTTCTGTTTAAATTTATCTTCCTCTTTAATTAAATAAATTTGTATATTTGAAAATAGCCGAACCCAATAATTTCTCTTAACTAATCTAAAAAATAAAAGAAAAATAAATCGATGATAATTCAAAAAAAAAAAAATTCAATCATTATTACCGATGAATTCTAGTAGAAGAGAAAGTGATTGATGAATTTTAATCATGAGTTATTTCTAAGATATATCAAAAGTAAATTCGTAATAAATTAATTTCTAACGCGTTCTTAGTAGTATACCGTAACAAAAATTCTTATAAAAAATTCATATTACTTTGAAAAAAAGGCAGTGATATTCGAAAGAGAAGTTACTTACTATTCATTTTGCTGGACAATGTAGAAGTAATAGGTTAAAGCTTAACCTAAATTGCGCCAATTAATTAAACTAACAATTCTAGGAAAATTATTGTCTCAATTTTTTTACACTTTGAAATTGATAATATAAAACCATTATGTCATTTAACTTTTTTGAAAGCATCAATACCCTACTTTACGTTATATGACTGGTGAAAAGTTATTCTAGATAAAATCTAGGTTTCTCCAATTGTCTAAATAGATTAAAATCTTAATGAATTAATAAAATGTTTACCTGTTCTTTTAATTATTCTATCATTTTTTATTATATGTTTTGTAAAGTTCTGGTACCATGAAAACCTAACTTTGCAAAATTTTGGCAGAATAATTATTTTCTTTTTGGCTAATCAATTCAGTAAATATCAAATGTTATATAAAATATTACAATATATGATATGAAATCATAACCGTCCGAAGAATCACTTGCGAAACTAAAGTTTGCGCAGCTCCTTTAAAAAAAAAAAAAAAAATAATGCGAAAATTTTAAGGACTTCCGAAAGCATTCAAGCTTTCATTCTTTGAGTAATTGCGGTTCTAGCACCTCGGCAACCTTATGCGAATGCAGGCATGAACTTAACGAAAATTTCTTTATTTTATCAAATGCATATATTATAAATTTGATTCAAATTTATTAAGTACTTTACTTTTTATCCTTCCCTGATTGTCAAAATATTGAACTTGACGTTTTAAATTTTTTTTTTTTTTTTTTTTTTTTTTTTTTTGCAAGTGTTCTTTTTCATAGTGCAGTTGGATAAAAAAATTTTTCGGTTAATATATAGAGCTGCGCTTCGTATTACAAATTCTGTTTCGAATCATTCATCTTAAGTCAAATTTAATCCTGATTAATTCGATTTGCAACCAATTCGAATGATTCGGATCAATTCGAATTTAATATAAATGAATTTTCATATAAATTTATTAAATTCTTTTAAAACAACAAAATAAAATCATAACGATACGTAAATTTGTGATAATAAGAATTCTGTTTAAAAATATTTGAGAAAGTAAAATGTATTTCATATATATTGGTAATATTTGATAGTTTATCTAATTCATTAATCACTATCACATAGTAGTCAGACTGGAGAGGCATCAATGAAAGAGCCACAACCATCTAGAAATGCGGTACTTCGGAGTTTTTTTTTTCATTATTATTATTATCATTTTTATAACTCTACGAAAATGGAATAACTTTTTATTGAAGATTTGAATGAAACTTTGCTATTGGAAGTAACTCCTTCTTTTCCTCTATATCCAACTGGAATGGATTTACAAAAGAAATTCTAGATAACTTATCGAATATTATTAAGAGCTACTCGAATGAAAAACCAGATTCTTACTTTAGTCAATACTTACTACTTAGGAAAACTTTTGGAAACAGAAACTTTTTCACCAGCATAATGAAGCTAATTGAGAGGACTAGTTACTAAATATTATAATACTGCCTCAATTTGTGTATATTACCTCTATGAAATTAAATTCAACAGTTAAGACATATATCATTGAGAAAATTTATATTCTCCTAAGTGAAATTTACTGGTCTCTTATTAACTAAGCTATGGATATTTAAGCAGAAAATGCATCTCAAACATGCACTTTGTATAGATGTTTTACCATAAGATATGATGGACGTGTATTACTAGCTTTGTAACATACTAATAGAGTATTACTAAATGTTTGAAAAGTGCTTTCATCTGAAAAAATTGTATGAGACCAATCATCTTGGTTATGCTTTAAAGCCCACTGGAAATGTGCTTTGATATGATTTTGTTTAAGGAGAAGAACAGCTCATGACCTACAAATCATATAATTAAGTTTATTTTTAAGGGTACATTAGACAGTCTGAGTTAATATATTAAGGTCTAAATAAATATTATTCAGTTTCATTGTCATTAAAGATGAAGATATTGTATTATTAATTTGAACGAGATGACCAAGATATCAATGTTTGTTGAAAGTAAGAATAAGAGGATGGTTAGGATAAGGTAAGTATTTAACATCTCCAGTTTTTTTTAACCGGTTGACAATATCATATACAGTAAAGCTTAGATAACCATTTATTTTAATTATTTCAAAGGGATTTCATATATTTTAATCCATAATTCCTTTACAATCAAACGTCTTATTTCAAAAGCTGAAATGGATGCTATAGATTAAGTTTTTTATTGATAAATAATCACATGAAATTTTTGTGGCATTATTTTTATATCTATAAATAGCTAA